GTATATGTTTTGTTAGAGGGGTTGCTTGGTTTGATGAAGGAGGAAGGGTATACTTTGCATGATGAGTATGATGAGGAGAATGTTTATGTTTGAAATTTAAATTTTGTCATTAGCATAACCATTGGCAATGAAGATTACACACTCAAGGACTATAAGTCATCCTTAAGGCTTTTATGGCTCACAAAATCCACCCTTCAGAGATGCCCTGCTAACAGGAAAGGGCAACCTAAGATTATAATTGTCAAGAAGGGCTCTGTTCTGTTCTATCAAATGAAGTAATTAGCTCAACAATGTAACAATTTTGTTTTTAATTTTGTCAACATTAACCATTTATAGCCATACAAAGTGAATGATTTGTTTTGTTATAGGTGGCGTTGGTACGAGGTGATCTTATAATTCAAGATGATCTATTCACCCTGATTAGTAACTCGAGATTAATCTTACATGACAATAATCTTAAATCACTGAGAGTGATCAGATCACCACGGTGATGAACAGGTTATATTGAGCTGATTGTATCTGTTGATCAGGAATTGTTTAGATTATTCATTGTTTATCTCAATTATAAATACCAGGGTTATATGCTTGATCATCAATTGATCATAGATCTTTTATGCCATAAGATTGCTAAGCTTGTATGGCAAAAGCAAAATGGGGGTGGTGTATCAGTGAAGAGATCAATTCACCATGTCTGTAGATAGAGATGGTGAGGACTTTGGATCCCTAAAGCATTTTCCTTTTTAATTCTAGCAGTGATTGATACTTCTTGGCCAAAGTGAAGAGGCACTTTCCAAACAAAAATTCTGTCACACGTAAGCTTTCTATTTGATCTCTCCTGTGGCAAATTGAACTTTTGGACTTGGTCTCAGCATTACTTTTTAAAACAATTGTAGCCTTTAATCATCACCTTGCTGACATGGAAGTGCCCAGGAGCATCTTTATATCTTCCCTTGGCACTCTTTCGATGTTTGCCTTTCTCTTATGCTAAGTGGAAAATTTTCTGACAGATTTTATCGTCATCTCCCCTTTGGTCGGTCCTGGGTCCCTCCATGTCACCTATGGGAATCATGGAAATGCTTCTTCCCATGTATAAAAGGAACTTTTCTTTTCACTTACAAATGAAAGTTTCTATCTTCATTTTTTGTCTTTACGTTTACATATCTAATTTTACATTTTAATCAAAAACTCTAAATCTTAAATGGTAAATGAGATAAGAGAATTTTTATTCGATGGAGAACTCTGCACACATTCTGTCATATGGATGGGAGAAAAAGAACTAACAAATATGCTTCGATCCACAAAATTCCTTTTTCCCCAAGGCATTAAAGAATGGGGGAATGGACTCATTTACCATGCAAGAAGAGAAAGAAGCGGAGTTTGTGAGTGTGAAAGGGCGACAACTGACCGTGATGAGCGCACAAAGCTAGCCCTGCCAGCCCTCCTCTTCATGGATGCTTTCGTTTCTAGTTTCTTCCAGGTTTCCCATAGTCGTAATTTAGCTTTGCAACAGACAACAGAATGGAGCTTTAAGGATGGGCCAATCTCTTCTCTTTTTTTCTTCTTCTTCTGCTTGTTTTGTTGCTCATCAAGAACTGGAGGAATAGTTGGAATAGATAATGAAAAGAAATGGGGTGTCAAAGATGTTTGAACTGGACACAAACTTGAAGACAAAAAACCTACATTCCCAGCCATTCCATTATAGTTTACTCCACCACGTCTCTTCTTTGGTTCCACACACATGATTTCCCAGATCTCTACTTGCTATTAATGCTCAATCAAACCATATATTTAGGTACAATTATTGACTCCTTTTTATCTTTTTTTTTTGCCCTTTTTTCACTTCCAAGTACTCTTTTATTCAACCCTTCATGTTCCAACTTCCAAGTACTTGACGTTAGATACCAATGAACTTATTTTCAAGATAAAAAGAAAGTATAAATGCTGAAATTGACTTATAGAGAAAATGTGTGAATGCTAAGAAGAGAGCATTTATGATCAGTTTATACTACCCAAATGGACTGATTGAGATTGTATAGAATTACAACAACATATAGTCAAGATATTTGAGATAATTATTCACAAAAATTAATGGCGAATTTGTGATAGTTATCCACCTTTATAGTAGTAGTGTCGGATAACACCACTTAATTGCTAAAAATCTATACTAAATATATTACTTATCTAGAGTTTTATGTAATTAATGACACTAATGAATCTTCTTTTTTTTTTTTTTGTAATTTTGCAGTAAGGAATGGGAATAAAGACTCCAAATCTAAATAGGTTTATCAAAAAGTAATTTATATAATAATATTTAAATACTAAAAAATAAAAAAATCTTTTATAAGATTTTATTAAAAAAAGTCCAAACCTAAACTTCTCTCTTCCTTCTCAAAAATTCAAGTTTTACTTATCTGTGTGACACTTCCTCTTCCCAATTCTTGACTGGGTTTTTCAATCTCTCAAAATAACTCATTGTAAGTAATTTTTAATCTAAATTAAGTTTTTAAATACTTTATGTTCAATTACTTTTTGATTAATTTGATAGTTTAGAACACAAACAGAATCTAACTAATAGAAAATAGTATTGCATGTCAAAAAATATATTGAAATTATGAGTCTTTCTTTTTATGAGTTATTTTATGAATATATTGTTTGATTATTTGATTTTTGAATTTAACTTTATATAGTTTGTGGATGCTTATACTTAGTTTTAATTAATAAATAAAAATTTGTTATGAGTTTATTTATTTATTTTATAGATGTATTATTTGATTATTTAATTATTTGTATTTAACTTTATTGATCTGTGAATGCTTATACTTAGTTCTGATCCATGAATAGAAATTTGGATCATATTTCATTTCATTCTAATAATATTGTAGTTTATATTAATAAAATATAGCAGTAGTTTTTAATAAGTTATAAATAAATTATGAAAAGATATTTTAAAGTACAAAAAATTATCTTATTAGATCTTAAGCAACAACAATAATCTTTTAAACAAAATCGTGTTAAATTTGATTAAGGACTCTTTCAATAAATCCTAAAGTGAGAAATTTTTTTAAACTATAACATTAATAAAAGAAATTTTCTAAGTTCTCCCCCGGTTGCATAGAGGTAAATGGAGACATATAAGTCAGGATAAAAGAAAAAGGACGCAGGTCTCAAAACTCCCACGGACTTTGAAGTGAAAGCTCGCCAAAGCAGCACACGATCCCATGATGATGGAAGAAGAGACAACTATGATGGCGGCACTCTCTACCCTCAGCCCTTCTCAACTCTCAGATCTCAGCTACTCCATCTTCTCCCTCTCTTTCCACCACCGCCGACGCCTTTGTTTGCCTCCTTTCCTCCCCTTGTCTCTTCTCTCTCACCCTCCACCACCTCCACTCTCTCTCCCTCCCCAACAAAACCCTTCTCATTGCCCGCCACCTCCTCTTTTCCCTCCACCATATCACACCGGCACTTCCAGCCTCCGCCACTACGGTCGATACAGTCTTCCGCCGCCATGAAGCACCGTGACCTTGACGCCGTGCTCCTCCTCCTCTTTCTTTGTGAAACACACCAACATTACCCAAAAGCGCTCCAGAGACCCCACGCTGAATGGCGCGAAGTCTTAAGTAACATCTGCTCTGATACTATGTTAAGGATCACTGGTATTACCGGTGTCTTTGATGGAGCTGCTTTGATTCCGTACATAGAAATGGTGACAAGGTGTAGAAGGTTCGTTGGAATATTGGGTTGTGGTGGGAAGGAGGGAAGAGAGGTGGCGGCATCATCGGCAGCAGTGGTGGCTTTGCCAACGGTGGAGGTGAGACGGCCTGGAGTTGAGTGTGTGATATGCAAGGAGGAAATGAGAGAAGGAAGAGACGTTTGTAAGTTGCCATGCCAGCACTTGTTTCACTGGATGTGCATATTGCCTTGGCTGAAGAAGAAGAACACATGCCCCTGCTGCAGGTTCCAGCTTCCCTGTGATGACATATTTGATGAGATCCAACGGCTGTGGGGAGTCCTGGTCAAGGCGAGTGGCAAAAGTCTTGATGGACAATGGACATGATTGATCAATCATGATTATCATTAGAACACGTGGGAGAATCAGGATGTAACACATGCCTAAGATATTGGGTAGGGAGGGTTTTCCAGTAAATGGCTGAGATGAATTGGGTGGAGATGATCACTTGTTCTTATGATAAAGACACATGTGGCTAGGTTCATAGAGGCTCTTTCAGATTTTAATTTTGTTATTATCTTTCATTATCATAATTTATTATTAATTGGTTTTTTCTTTTGTATGCATAGCAGCAAAATAAACATTGGGTTTTGCTGAAATTTAGAAGAAAGTAAACCACTTGTTTGCTTTTATATTATACATGGCATTTTAACTTTATATAGTCTTGTACATTTTAATGCTGTACTCATCTTTCATAATCAAATTTATTGTTAGTCAATTGCATTCTTCTTGTTGTATCCCTATGTGTATCTCTTCACGAAATTCCAAATGAATGAAATGCATTTCATCAGCATTTTTAGGTATCAAATTTGGACCAATTCACAAGTTGAATTGATCGATCTAAAGGTCAAGCCCTCACTTGACTCGAAAAAATTCATATTGATCCATCAAATTATTAATCTGAGTCAATTAAATTTTCTTTGAAATGGTTTTAAGTCATGTTTAACTTTTACATACTAATTATTGATTCTTTCATTATTTCAATTATAAAATATTTTTAAAAAAATAAGAAAAAATCTTTTTAAGCTTAGCTTTTTTTAAAAAATTTTTTAAATGATTTTGAATATTTCTAGTTATTGTATCATAATAGCATATATATAATTATGTAAAATATTTATTAATCTATAAGTTTTTTAATTATATAATAAGGCCCTTCTCTGATCTAATTAATGGGTTTCCTTGGGTAAGAAAAGGTCAAAATCAATTCATTTAATATCGATTGGCCCACAACCAAAAGGCCCAATCCAAATTATTTCAGTTGGCAATTACCTTTGGGTTTTCTTGGAGAGGGAAATTTGGTTGGATTTGGGTTGTTAGGGTTTGGTTGGATGAGTTGGATAGCGTTAGGGGTTTTGGAAGGCAAACTTGGGATTTACAGTTTGAAATGGTGGCTGAGACGGAGGATGGCCGCCCAGCGTGGCAGCAGGGGACGGTGGCCGTTGTGGTGACAGCATATCTCGGAGATACTTGTGCGATCATCATTTAAATAATTTCTTAAAAAAAATTACCGCAACAACTATGACATCGTTAATTAAAATTAAAATGATAAATAAAACTCAAAGGCTACACATAACACTATAATAACATATACTCTCAAACTTCAAAACTATAACATAATTAAGTCGAACTTAATTTAAATTTAAGTGGTGGTAGAATCTAAATATAGGGAGTTAGATACTTAATCAAACATTTGAATTGATGAAGTTTTCCCATACTTATGTCTTTCATATAAAAAAAACCAATATCTAGAGAACCAAATGAGTCGTTGCTAAAATATATTCAATTAGGTTGGATTTCAAGAAAATTTAAAGCTAAGACAGCCAAGGTCGAACTGGGAAGTAAAGGTGAGTTCATTCTTTGCTGAACACATAGGTTTTTGCTTGGTTTAAGCAAGAACTGATTGAACTTCCAATCACTGATCACTCACCCTATGCCTCTCCTTTAAGACATGATACGGCAGCTTTTTTCCTAATCTGATATTACTTTCATTTTAAGTGCCCAAAACTCAGAAATCACAAGGGACAATGCATGGGGAAAGTCTTCTCCTGCTAACTTAGCTAGATGATCAGTGTACTGTATCACTGAGTAGTTCAGACAATGGCATCAACAAGAACAACAGACCCATCCAATTGGAAACCTGTCCAAATGGACCAAGCCTGGGTCAATGAGCCTACTTCGTTTGGACCTCCTTGATGAAACTGAGGGTTAAAGTTATGAGTTAAGTGCACTTAATCAAATAGCAGCAGCCAATGATCTGATTAACTTCTCTTATTGAAAAAACAGGATGTAAACCCAAGTTCTCAAATAACAAAAAATTAAAATTAAATATAAATTACTAACTCAATTCCAAGGTCCAACCCTTATTATAAAAATGATTTGCTTCAGCACTTTCCAAGGTAAGAGAATATAGAAATCAGTTGGGATGGGGGTGCAATCTGTGCATCAGTCTGTCATTCTTCTTTTAATATTTGAACACAATAAAGAATGCCAAGTGAGCTAATTTAAATCAAGATTTGGACATTCATATACTCATAGTCATAGGATACTAAAATTTTTGTAGGATGAAAGTATATGCATCTCCAGATATCACTGGCCGCTACTCAAACCGCTCCAAAAAAGATAAAGAAAGAAACTAAAAAAGTGGTCCGCTTGCAAGACAATGAGTGTGCTTAAAGCTGTAGCATACTAGCATTTGGCTGTTTATATTCATCACAAGGGGAAGCAAGGTAGGTAGAGATTAATAATACTAGTGAAATATCAAGTGCCTGGTTGCTAAAATTGGGTTTCTTTTGAGTGAAGTGCAAGCTAATTAATTTTTTCCCATACTCTAGAATCATGTAATTATGCCTTGCTTCTTTAGTTTTTTGATGAAAGCTACAATACTAATTATTTCCAACTTCACTTGTCACCACGGCTTCCTTGTCTTTTGGGTTATAATAATAACTCAAAGTGAAACAGATTTGATTTGGAAAGGGTTTGATTCATCACCTAGATATCATAAAACTATAATGTATTATGATTTACTAACACTTGTAGCAATGAAAATTGCATTGATTTTCACTTCGAAATGACGATTTAATATAGATTGTACTTTACATTTGCATTGCTCAATGCTCATTGTTGCAGCAAGGGAGGAAAGAGACAGTATTCAGGATTGTACTCAACCAATAGAAACAAAAATGAAATTGATAGAGAATTTAGAAAAATGGGTTTTCTTTTACTACGAGAGAAGAAACACAGAAGAGAAAGGAGAAAGAAAATTTCAGGGACTTCACGTGACAGAGTCAGCTACAAGGGCAGGACACCCCGTGATGTTATTTCAAATTTTGAAAACCACTTTTACCCGGCTTACTTGCCTCCTTGGCTGTAAGCATGTGAGGATGTGGTAATTCAATAAATGCTACATACCTTTGTATCTATCTCTCATCTGTTCCTGTGGTGCTAATTTAAACTGAAATTTGTCTCTACTAATAGTGCTCAATCAGCTCGTTTTTGTCAATTTGGAAGTATTAACCAGACCAATTCCATGGAAAATGAACTAAAACAAATCAAACACATACGAAAAATGTGGAAGGATGAATGTAAAAACATCATGATTTGGTTAGTCATGATGTTATGGTGGGAGAAATAAGATGAAGAAATGTAAAAACTCTTACATGGCATTAACTATCAAGAGTAGTAGCTGTCAAAAATGGTTACAAATGGTTTTAGTGTAGATCAAGGCTTCCAATGGTTAATTGGCCACCAGCTAAGAGTGTGTGAGGAGGCTATGTCAAAACTCTAGAGTCTGTATTATTCTATAATTGTAAATGGGATGTGGTTAGTTGGTTCATATTTGTTTGGACTGATACAAAGATAAGCAGTTGAGTAGTTATGATATGTTTGCTCTAATTATCCCAAATCCTTATTTTGTAACCCAATAGGAAAGTATTCTACTCAAAAAGAGAGAGATATGTAAATTGCAAAATGATAAAAGTAGTGACAAAGTAGTGGCAGAGAACAACTACAGTGCAGAAAAACAAGAGCCAAAGATTCTACTCTTGGGGTGACGGATATAAGCCATCTGAGGAGATTCAAAAGAGTCCAAGCCTTGAACTTGGATTTCCAACTGTGGTAGCGGCGTGAGAGTCTTTGTTTTTGCATCAGCAAAGACTCTTCTTCCTAAGGGGAAAAAGAAATTTAAATTTAAAAAAAGAAGAAAAGGAACCCACTGCTTACAGGCTACAGCTTACTTCTGTTGGCATTTCTGTACAAGCAACAAGCTGCATGGTTAGTGAGCTCTGATCTGATGTATTCATAAAGTGGTAATTGAAGCAGAGGTAAGGTTTTAGTGTTTTGGGTGCACTGACATTCAAGAATCAAGGTCACTGCAAAAACGTCAGTAACAGGATAAAGTCGAGAAAAATGATTGCTTGCAACAAGGAAGACAACAAATGGAGGTGGGTTTTTTTTGTTTTTTCCTATTTGTGCTGATCACTGCTTCATAATTTAATATGGGTTTCTTTTGTTTTCTCTTCTCAGTGAAAGGAAGATGGAAGGAGATGATGGGTTGAGGACTGTGGAGTGCTTGAGAGGAAGGCTTCTTGCAGAGAGACAAGCTTCAAGGACAGCAAAAGAAGATGCTGAACTAATGGGCAATAAGGTCAGGTTCTGTTCTATCAGTTTGGGTTTTAAGCATTTTTGTAGGCTTAGTTTCAGTATGCTAAAGAAAAAGATCTGAATTTTTTGTTTGGTCTATTTTATTGTTCTTGAACTGCAGCTAATAGAACTAGAAAACAAACTCAAAGAAGAGACCAAATTAAGGAATAAAGCTGAGAAGAGGCTCAAGTTGTTGAAGAAGAAGCTTGAATCACTGAAAATATTGCCTAGTTTGGAAGAATCAGAGCAGTCAAGTTCATCCGAGAACTGTGCAGTTTCTAGTATTTCATCTACAAGTACTTCAGGTGCTAAAGACCCAGAAGAATCTGCTTCCAAGTCTCAAAACACAGTTCCAGAAATCTCAAAAAATATGGAGGAAAATGCATCAGATACCACGACATCTATCAAAAGCCTTGACATTCCTTTCGGTGAAGAAAATTCAACTTCTCCAGGGACTACTCAATCTGATTCAAAAGATTCTTCACATAAAAGGTCCAGTGGTAAATCAAGTTCAAGCCCTGAAGATCCAAAGATTGGGGATGCAAGGTGCCCCCTTTAATTCCTACATTTCCAACATCTGTCCTACTGCATTTGTTTAAGTATACATTATAACTTACTATAATTAAGTTAATATGATCACTTTATACTATTCATTTCAGTTCTTCAAGCTTGAAAGCTTCAACAGTGGAGATCGATATGAAGGGAAGAAATGAGAATTATGAGGATGATGATTTTGTTGATAACTCAATGGCATTGGTTCCTCTGAAGCTACCAGAAACCAAGCTGGCCCCTGAGATAAAGATAGTCAGCAAAAGTATAGGTGAAGTTCTTGATACTCTTAGGCATGCCAGGGAAAGAATTCAGAATTCAATGGAAAGAAGACAAATTATTAGAGTTGGGCCATCTTGAATTCATACAAGTAAACAGTAATTATTGTCCCATTTAGATAATCAAACAGAAAGTGACAGATGTTCCTTTCTTGCACTGAAGCAACATGGCAGGACAGATACAGTGAAAAAGGGCATAATGTCACTGGTATTTATATTGCCTTGTTCAGATGGTTTGGTTGGTAATAAAGTTCTTTGATAGCATGTGATGTGGGGATGTGACCCTCCATTTAGTACATTGACTTGGCCCCCAAACTTTGGCCACTTGCCCTTTTTGAGATATCCTCTGCTTTAAGGTTGGATTGGGTTTAAACAGTTGGATCGTTTTCTGATATGTGATTCAAGCTTAGAACCTAAAAATATTCAGCTTTGGGATGACACTCACTCCATGAATTGTCTCTAGTTTTCTTCAAGCAAACTCTGTGAATTAGGCCAACAAGATTAATCTGTCAACAGTATTTCCATGTGCATAGAGCCATAGAACAAAGCTCTCTACAGGCTTTTTGACCAGGGTAAGTGTTGCTGATTTGCATAGTTGAGAGTGCGCTAGGACCTATTTCCATGTGATTTAGCAACCCATTTGATGGCTTTCCTCAAATTCCTAGCTCATCCATGCCCTTTGACCTGGCATGAGGGTGTTAGCTAAACTAGCTGGACAACCTTACTTGATCACAACCCTTTCCTGGAAAAGCTGGAACATGCCAGCTTAATTGACACTAAATACAGCCAACAGATCATTGATCGAAATTCGATAACACGCAATGAAACAGATTCCCTTGGTTGAGATATGGAGTTTGGTCGGTGCTTTGATTCACATGCAGCTTGGCACGTGCTTTAAGTAAATCTATGTCATGTTTTTGCCCCCCAAAAAAGGGAGAAAAGCTCTAATTAAAGTTTTGCTAAGGAATGTACTTAAATTTAATGCTTTATTCTAATAAGAATTCTACTAAAAGTCCAAGTTTGTTTATTTTCTGATTGTATTATAATATTTGAAGTCTATTTTATTTTAAATTGGATTCTATTTAATTTTAAGTTGTATCATTATACTTGAACTTAAATTCTATATATTTAAATACTACACACAAAGCTAGGTAATCCTTTTTTCCATATCTTTTTCTCAATTTAAGTGGTTTTTCAGAAATTTTTTTTATACTTTTTTTCAAATTGTTTCAGAATTCTTAATTTTCAATTGTTGGTTTAGGATAACATGAAGGATGCTAAAGCGGATTGGAAAAATCTCCCAACACTCCCTCTCTTGTTGATTCTTGAGAAACTACATGTTTCCCAACAATCTGGTTCGATTCGGTGCGGTCTGTAAGTATTGGCATTCCGTCTTCTGTAGTTTTCTTGACTCAAAAAGACAATCATCGCTTACTCTAGTTCCCATGTTGTTGATTCCATCTAAAAAGAGCAGCATAGGTCGAAAATTATGCAGCCTACAAGCTAAAGCAAAAATCTACAACATTGAGTTACCAAAGTCTCATACGAAGAGACCTTTTAGTTGTTGTTATGGTTGGTTAGCTGCTGTAGACAAGAGGTTGGTTATAAGCCTTTTAAATCCTTTTAAAGGTGGGATCACAATTAATCTTCCCGAGATTAAGATTGAAACCTATCAGAGAAGCTCATTAGGCTACCAACATGACATTAAAAAACTTTTTTTGTCGGTTGACCCTTTATTACATCCGGATAATTATACGGTCGTGGCTATTTATAGCATTTATTCTAAATTAGCTTTTTATAAACCCGGACAAAGAAGTTGGATATATCTAGATAAAAATATTATGCTTATCCATGATGTTGTATTTTATAAAAATTTAGTTTATGCTATTGGATCTTGGCATAAGATAGTCTCTTTTGATGTTAATATTGATAATCTCGACGGCATTTTGAAGTCACCAGCTTTGAAGACGGTCATATCAGCACAATATCAAAGGTTAAAGGATTATATATATCGAGCACATCTTTTTGAATCATCTAAGGGAGATTTATTCTCTATTTATAGGGAATGGGGTGTTGTTGATGACACTGATCATCTTGTTCGATTTACTAAAAATTTCAAAGTTTACAAGTTAGTTTTGGATGATCAAAGTGGTGAATTGATAGAGGAAAAGGAAGTAAAGAATATAAATGGGGATATAGTGTTCGTTGGAAATAACCAGACTTTGGCTGTCTCTGCTTTAAATTTTCCTGAAGCCCAACCTAATTCTATATATTTCACAGATGATTATTTCATTGGATCATACTATAAGCCATATGGTCCTCGAGATATTGGTTTCTTCAACCTAAAAGATGGAAGCATGGGAAAACATTATCAATTCAAACCTTGGCATAGATTTCTACCTCCATATACTTGGATCCTACCATCAGTTAAATTCTCAGCTTAATTATGTTGTAATTTTGACTTCCAAGGTATATGTTCATCTTTTCGTTTCAATCTTGTACTTATCATGTTATTTTCAATTAAGGTTGTTATAGTTGGCATTGTGATAGTTGTTGCACTAATTTTTTATGAAATTATTTAGATAATAATTATATTTTTAATTTTTAATTTTATGATATAAAATTATAAAAAAAATCCTAATAAACCTAAAATAAAAGTAGAATATTTCTATTCAGTCCAAGAGCACCTCACAGAGTGTGGCCTGCTCAAAACTGAAAAGGGCTCGGACTGAATCATGTGTCTCTCCATCAGGCCATTGGAATCCGACCATGCACTTTGATTGGGGCAAAACCCTAAGAGCCCAGAAAGAGCCTGGTTTGAACCCTCTGCCTTTTGTTTCTTTTAAATTTGAAATATAGGTATAAGAAGTTTACCCTCCTACCCACTTTCCTAAAAACTATGTAGTAAAATAATGTGACATTATTGTATCTCCTGGCCACTAGATTGACGAGTACAAAAATGGGTACAAGTTATTGTAGCCATTCAGCCATTAATGTTCCCACAGTGAGATTATGGTGTTCATGGTCGTAAATGGTCCTGGAAGGTGAGCCAAATTGATCTGATTGCTGGTCCAAGTGGCTGAACATGTAAGAGCTGGAATGCATGTACCAAATATAGAGTCCGTCAATCCAATACCAGGGCAATGGACCCCCAGTTGTCACATTCTTTAGCAGCTGTTTTAACTCGGAAAGATTACAATCCTTTCCTCGTTTTCAGCTACTTAGAAAGGTCGAAATCCTTGGCACATAGATCAATCGTTCAGATATTTCAAGAAAAAGGTAATAGAACAGAATAATATGAGTTGAATCAGAAACCTTGATGACGATTGTAACAGACAAAGACATTAGTAAAACTTTGCTATTGAGAGGAATCCTTCCCTTTAATCTCTTCTTTTATAGATATTCCTCAACAGGTATGCAGGAAATGAACTATTGATGGACAAATTGCAGAATTTTATGAGTAAATTTCCACTGCTAAAAATTTTTTGGGATGCTGTCTAATCCCAGCTTTCATATGGTAAGAATTTCTAAAGTTAATGATTGCCCTGAAATGCTCGCCAACGCTCTTAGGAAAAGGTCAAGTATGAAAGTAGCCATGAGAAAAAGGGTTAAGAACAACTTGGTTTGTGCTCAGAATAGTGCTGAAATGATGGCTGAGCAAAGTAATTAGCACAAAATGTGAAGCATGGGATGTGAAAACGCACCATTACATGAGCGAAAATTGCCTAAAACAAACCATCGAAATCTTTCAGCAATGCAATAATCACATAGCTTTAGGACAACCACTTGGGGCAGAAGTTCATAGAAAAAACACAAGAAACTAAAAAACGAGGGAGGGAACATGGAACAATGCTACAATAACAAAAACAACAATGTCAGAAGTCAGTGATTTAAATCTCTATTTATTTCTCATCTTGGATCTCCTCTGACAAAAAGACTCGAGATCTTCTGCCAAAAAACTCCAAACTATCCTCTTATCCGTTGCCTCTTTTGATCAATTTGATCTCAGACCAAACTCTGTCTATGTCAATTCCCAAGGTGCTTTTCCAGCTAAGTCTGTTCCTGGAAGGTGGCACACAGTGAAGGGACCAAAAACACTTAAACCAGATTCAAGGTACACAGCCACCAGCACACCTCCATATTCTCTGAACTCACATAAAAACTATTGCTTTCTTGTCTCAAGTGCAAACTTTTCAGTTGAGTTAGCCCATACCCAACTTGATCCTTGTCTCCGAATTGGGCAGATACTCAGATTAATGGTGTCTAGTTCTTGGTAATATAGTTCCAAATATTGGGGTTCTAGTAGTATCGGAAACACGTACAAACTTGACCAAAGATTGACTCTTGGTCTTCTTCTTTATATTGTCTGCTGGTTCACTTGAATAATACATGTGAAATATTGGTTACTTGAAAATGGTTAAATCCTGTTGGAAACCATCTGTCGAGGGCGATTGCGGCCGTGTTGATGGTTTGTTGTGGTATAAAGATTTGGGGCAACATGTTTATGGAGAATTTTCAATGGCTGTGATTCAAGCCAATAGTTTGTTGGAGGATCAAAGCCAACTCGAATCAGGGCCGTTGAGTTTGAGTAGTTCTGGTCCTTATGGGACTTTCATCGGTGTATATGATGGACATGGTGGACCTGAGGCTTCCCGCTTCATCAATGACAACCTTTTCTGCAATCTTAAGTGTGCGTTTCCTCTTAAACTTTTTGCTATTCCTTCAATTTGGATTTTTACTTGGCAACTACGTCTGTTCTTCTTGTTGATGCCATTGCCTGATCTACTCAGTAATAGTACACTGATCACCTAGCTAAGTAACAGGAGAGGACTTTCCTCATGCATTACCCTTGTGATTTCTGAGTTTTAGACACTTAAAATGAAAGTAATATCAGATGAGAAAAAACTGCAGTATCATGTCTTAAGGGAGAGGTTGAGGGTGAGTACTTGGAAGTTCAATCAGTTCTTGCTTAAACCAAGCAAAACATATGTGTTCAGCAAGAATGAACTTATCTTGACTTTCCAGTTTTTCCAAGCATCGACACTGCTTGATGCAGTTACTTCAACAAGTTCCAGTTTGATGGCCAAATCCTTATTCTGTTTCCCTTAATGTTTCCTATGCAGCATTTGCGTCTGAGCATCAAGAGATATCAACAAATGTTCTCCGAAAGGCCTTCTCTGCAACAGAAGAGAATTTTCTTTCCCTTGTGAGGAAACAGTGGCTCGGGAAGCCGCAGATGGCGTCGGTAGGATCTTGCTGTTTGACGGGAGCGATTTGCAATGGACTGCTATACATTGCAAATGTTGGAGATTCCAGAGTAGTCTTAGGCAGAGCAGAAGGAGGAACTAGGGAAGTTATTGCAATGCAATTATCCACTGAACACAATTCAAGTATAGATGCTGTAAGAGATGAGCTTCGGTCATTGCATCCCCATGATCCACAGATTGTTGTGATGAAACACAAAGTTTGGCGTGTGAAGGGCCTGATACAGGTTATACTTTATTCTATCTTCCTCCGTTTGTTTCTGGTAAAAGTAAATATAGCTGGACTAAAAATGAATTCACTTGTGTATTCTTTCGGCCTCGTTAATTATCTTTGCAGATTTCTAGATCAATTGGTGATGCATATCTAAAGAAAGCAGAGTTCAACAAAGAACCTCTCCTGCCTAAATTTAGACTTCCTGAATCCTTCCAAAAGCCGATCCTTAGTGCAGAGCCGTCATTGTTGATACACAAGCTCCACCCTGACGATCAATTTCTCATCTTTGCTTCTGATGGTCTGTGGGAGCACCTTAGCAACCAGGAGGCTGTCAAATTTGTCCAGACAAGCCCACGAAATGTAAGTTTCCACTGATAGCTTGGCATGATGATTGATAATGTAACTCTCCTGGGATCGGCACAAAAGATTTTGTTGTGCATGGCTTTACTCTTCTTTGCGTCCCCTTTTATTTCAGGGAATTGCCAGGAGACTCGTTAAAGCTGCACTTAAGGAAGCAGCAAAGAAAAGAGAAATGAGATACTCAGACCTGAAGAAGATTGATCGAGGGGTCAGGAGACATTTCCATGATGATATCACAGTCATCGTCGTGTTTCTAGATCCCCATCTGATCAATGGGGGCTCCTCCCATAGCTCTCCATTATCAATAAAAGGTGGAGTGGGACTCCCTGCTGCTGCTGTCTCATAGCCAGCGGCAAGGATTGGAGTTGAATTTCTTAGAACTTATCCTCAATTGCCATACAAACAGGGGGACCAACTTCCTTTCATTAGACTTGTGCAAGGATTCCCATTAAGGGTAATCGGAATACATTGAGACTCCTTATTGCCAAAGAAACTTTGGATAACTGGATGATAATCTGTAGATAATGATTTCCATGTAATTTTGATTGTTTCCTCTCCTTTAAAAATGTCGTGTGTTTGGCTACCATAGTTGATATAATATCTCATTCACTATCCAAATTAATGTTTGTTAACCCTTAACATGGTGAAATATTCCTGTTTAAGCTTATGTTAAATCCCGGCTTTGCATATCGAAAAATAATTTAATATTGCAAGCTCGCATTAGGAATAAATTTTTTACATCTGAATGTGGGTTTAATTTCCTGGAATAAACCAAACCAATTGCTTGTCCAATTACAACGAGTAATTTTGTAAGATCTGCGTAAACTGTAGTGTATTTAGCTTACATACCTCCGATAAATATTGAGTTTCCATCTGCGACTGAACAATATTGCAGCTCTATTGCCAAACTAACTCGAATCTGGCAAGGGCAACCCTTTGTCTTGAACTAAAGCTATGCTTAGTAAATTCGAAATGGTTTATAAACCCAAAGAAATAGTTGTTACTCGTACTAGAATTTTAAAGGAAATTTTTACCAAAATTTAGCTTCACTCTTGCATCCAATTTCCAATTATACTGATTTCCCCTACCATGCAAATCAGTCTTAATTTCCATCCTTCGGTGTTTTGATCTTTTCCTCCCTAAATAAACTTTGTAAAAGGCTATGGGAGTAACTCTGCCCTCATTTAAGTGAACACCATTCAACTTGACTACAAAATAATGACCAAACAGAGATACTTTCGAGCAGAAGATTAAAGAAAATGTTAGATTTTCTGATTCCCCAATCCTGTTTAATCGGTCTTCCATACAAAAATATCCAACCAAACACAAATCCGACAGAAGCTAGCTAGGTATTGTTAATTTGTAATCGACAGTTTAACCTTAGCTGAAAACAAAAAAAAAGAAAACAAAAACACAATATTACATGGCTAAACAACAAACTGATAAAACACTAAACACATCCTTCACTCCCAGTATAATATTTACCTTGCAGATCAGCCAATTCACCTGGTGAGACCAAAGGAAGCTAACAATCACCTTCTAGTGTTCACTTATCTCAAATACAGAACCAGAAAAATCAGAATTTCTGAATTAACAGGATCAGGAAAAGGTTTAGCTTTTGGATCACATAATCTCATCACCTACTGAAAATATTCTCCATATGCAATCTACACATTATAAAACCATTCCCAATTTGCAACATTTCTCTCATGATCAAATGCTGAACAGCAGTAGTAACATCTCCAAACCAGTATTGCATCGATAATTTGTCGTAGAAAGATACTACTAACTAAATAAATTGGATTAATCCCATTTGAGCCATGAGCATCATGAAATGTAGCACACATATGCATACAAACATGCAAACAAATGCATGCAAGCCTGCAAACGAGCACACGAACAAACATTCATGCTCATGCACATACCCAACAAATGATCTGAAAAAAATGTCTAATCAATTGACAAGGAACAAACAATAACAAGATTACAGTCGATGTTCAAACAAACAAAAACAATCTAAACATAAGCCTCCTTACAATCTTCCATGCTACAGCCTTTACAATCATTTTTTAATCTAAATGCAGAAAACAAAGTTATCCATGTGTGCTCAGATCAAAGGCATCTAATTTTTATCCTTTTTC